TTTTTTTTTTTTTTTTTTTTTTTTTTTTTTTTTTTTTTTTTTTTTTTTTTTTTTTTTTTTTTTTTTTTTTTTATATATATAATTTTATTGTTCCATATGATATTTTACAATATACAATTAAAAAAAAAAAAATAAAAATTATTGACAATCTTATATATATATGAAAATATAAATATATATTTATAAAATGTATGTTTTCTTGAGAAATTTATTATATTGTAAAATGTTTATCTCAATAATATATTTTTTTTTTAATTTATAGAATAATTACATATATAAATGTTACATATTATAAAAAAAAAAAAAAAAAACGCATGTAAATATATATAAATATTTTTACTCATTATGCACGCTTTTTTGAAGTACAATTTTTTCTTTTTCATTTTTATATTTAATGATAAAAAAAGAAAATATAAATATATTTAAAATTATGCATATATATTTTGAAATATTTTCGTTAGTCAAAAAAAAAAAAAAAAAAAAAAAAAAAAAAAAAAAAAAAAAAAAAAAAAAAAAAAAAATAAATAAATAAATAAATAAATAAATGAAAGTAAAATAAAATAAAATAAAGTAAAATAAAATAAAATAAAATAAATAAAAAAAAAAGAATATACAAGACTTGAAAAAAATATTTTATGATTCAATAAACAATATGAAAAACAAGTGCTTTGGTGAACATGTAATAAGCATATTCTTTTTTAATGTAAAATTAGTTATGTAAATACAATAATAAAAAATTAGGATACAAAAGCATATTTATATATATATAAATATACATGATATTTTAATATATAACGAATATATTTTGTATATTTAAAATATAACTTTTTTTTTTACATGTATATAAAGCAAAATTAGTTAATAAAAATTTTAGGACATGAAAAAAAAAATTTCTATTATATAAAATTATTTAATATTTTAAAACTAAATTTAAAAAATTTCCCAAATAAATAATACTGCTATTAATTTTAAGTTTATTATTTAGATACATTTTTTTTTATATTCTGTTATTTTAGAAAACGTGAAATGTAAAAATTTTCACCTTATTTATTTATATTATTAATAGCCATTTCCATTTGTATAACAATAAAAAATGTATATAAATATCTCATCTAATTTTTATATTTTATTTTAAAAAGAAAGATTTAAAATCACTTTATTGCTAATATACATTACTTTTGTTCATGTTATTATCATAAAAGGTATTATAAATATCCAATATAAAGAAATAAGATATAAGCATATATATAAGAGAACATAAATTATATACATAAAAATACAAATAAATAAAAAAAAACATATCTTTCATAATTAACATACCCGTTCAAATATTACAATCATCAAGCATTGATATAAATTTGTGAAATAATTTTTGATACTAAAATATAAATATTTTTTTTAATAGTTTTTTTTTTTTTTTTTTACAAGGAACTACGCACAAAATACACAAAAATTTATTTCTTCTTTTATTAATGCAATATTTTTAGTTTTTATATGGAAAACTATTTTTTAGAATATTTGCTTATTTTATCACGAAAAAACTAAATTATCATAAAAAAAATTAAAAAAGAATGAAATGAAGTAAATAATATTACATTTAATGGACTCATTAAATAAAAAGCTATTACCATCAAATAAATTTATTTATTAAATTTTACATATTAATATTATGCGTGCACAGGTATTTTTTTTTTTTTTTAATGAAATAATATTTTAAAACATACATACATTTGTAATAATATATTATATTATTAATAAAAACATATATCTGTAATATTTTGAAAAAAACTAAGTAAAAATATAAAATATATTTATAAACTATTGACAATTTCCATTTTCAGTATTGTTCATTATTTTTCTTAATGTGTACATTTTGATATATTTATAAAATATATTAATTAATGAATAATGTATTATATTAATAAAAGAATTGTTTTTAATTTATTATATGTAAATGAATATTTTATAATTTTATATAAATTTGCACATTGAAATGATTTTAATTTTAAAATATATTATTGAAATTTTAATATATATGTTGGATGAAATACTTTTTATTTTTAGAAAAAACATTGTTGTTAATATAATTCTATAAAATTGTGTAAGCAATAAATATATTTTAAAATATACTTTTTTTTTTCTTCATAGAATATTGTGACATACAAATTTAATGGATTGTTAAAAAACATAATTAATTGTTGAACATTTGTGTTATATATAATAAAATTTTGTATTATTAATAAACAAAATACATTTATTTTTATTAAAAATTAGGCTATTTTTTTTGCTTCCCAAATCAACATAAACTTGTGGGCATCTACTATTTTTTTTAAAAAGTAAATATTCTTATCAAAATAACTTTTTTGTGAGTTGATATTTTTTCAATAAAAAATAAAAATTCATTAATATACAAATTTAACGTTATATATTTTTTTAATCAGATAAATTAATATTTGAATTACACGCATATGTTAAGATATTAACGTTTTATGTTAATTTTTTAATAAGTAAATTTTATTTTAATGCTTTTAATATTTGTAAGAATATTCATTAAATATATAATAATATATTTATTTCATATTTAAAAAGCAAAAATTTCCTCCTAATTACATATTAAATATTAATTTACTTAAAATTATGTAATGAGTTTTAACGCAAACAGCTAAAACAGTTGTGAATATGTATGAGATTCATCATTCAAAAAAGTAAAATTATGTTTTTGTTCTTTATATTAATATTCTATATATAAATTTTTTTTTTTAATAGAGAAAAAAAAAACAATTTTGAAGTTCTAAAATAAATAGCAACACAAAATTACAATTATTAGAAATGTATTATTTACATATTTGTCAATATTCCTAATAAATAAAACATTATTTTTATTAATTATAAACTAAATTATTTTTTATGAATTTATTGCAAATATTTTACTTATATGAATGTAATACAATTTTTAGTTAATTATTGTGAGAGTACAATAGGAAAGTATATTAATGTATTAGATATAGAAAAAATATTTAGATTTATATTTCTATTATCATTTTATACTAATATATTAATTATATATGTATATATATATATATAGAATATATATATTTATTTTTTATATAAAGTTATTAGGTGCAAATTAAGTATTAGTTTACCAAACTGTGACATATATTTATTTATTATTTTATATTATTTATATAATATTTTTATTAATACATTTAAATACAAAAAAAAAAAAAAAGTTTTTATTATTATTATTATTATTATAAAAATTAACAATTAGAAAGCTACAGATAATATTTTTTTTTTTTTTTATTTTGTATACATTATAAACAAATAATTTTATTTTTTTATATGTAGGTCATACCTCTGTTTCTTTTTTAATTAAAAAGGGAAAAAAAAATGACGATTTAAAATTATCTACATAAAAATTTTACATAAATTCAAAGTTATTTTACTATTATAAAATGAATATAATTATTATGAAATACTCAAAAAAGTTACATTAAAAATAATTCATAATATATATATTTATATATATAATTAGAATTATAAATTGAAAGAATAACAAATTTACAAAAATATATAAAACAAAATTTTTTTTAAAAATGATATTATTTTTTCATTTTTCTTCATAATCTGCAATCCCTCCTTCAGTTATCGCAAATACAGCTTCTCCTTCTGGTAACACGGGAGAATCATAAATTTTGCAAATCCTACTTTCTCCTCTTCCTTTTCTTAAATATAAACGAGTTTGACTAGCATGAGCTATTATATTACCACCTATTGGTATTTTCTCATGTCCACCAAACATGCTCATAGCATCTACTTTTGCTACAACTTGATTAGTAATTATTACGGCAACTCCATAAATATCTGCAATTCTTTGTAACCCTCTTAAAAATCTACATAAATGGGATTGCCTATTAGCTAGCTCCCCTCTACCTATATATTCAGATCTATAGAGGGCAGTTGCTGAATCCACTATTAATAATGCAAATCTTGTATCAGCCATCATTGCACTTGCATCTATTAATAATTCTGTTTGGTGATCGCAATTATATGCTTTTGCATATGCTATATTGTTTAAACAGTCTGTTGGATGTAAACCATATCTTTTAGCTATGGCTACAATTCTTTCAGGTCGAAATGTTCCTTCTGTATCTATCCACAGGCATTTTCCTTCACCCCCGGATTGTTCAATGGGAAGTTGACATGTTATTGCTAATGTATGACAAAGTTGACTTTTTCCTGTACGAAATTCTCCAAATAACTCAGTAATACCTCCTGTTTCTATTCCACCTTTTAATAAGGCATCTAATTGTTTTGATCCTGTCGTGAATTTTATTAAATTTTGCCTTGCATCATGATAATCAATTGCATTGCAAAATCCAGAATTACATAATTCTTTACATGCCTTTTTTAATTTTTCAGCTTTTTGTTCGCTTATTCCTTTTATAGAACACAACGTACGCATAGGTGCATAAGCTACGCATTCTACTGTTTGTAATCCCCCTTCTTTAAGCAATTCTAAATCTCTTTTAACAAATCCTTTAGCCAATAATTGTTCTATCTTTAATGGACCAGTATATAACTGCTCCTCTTCTACTTCATCTATAGCATTGCTATTTATAACTTTTTGTAACTTATCTTCTTTTGCATTTGCAGGTTTCATTGTTAGACATAAAAAAACAAAAAGAAATTAAATTTAAAAAAAAGCGTTTTTATAATTTTTATATTTTTTTACAAAAAAAGAAAAAAAAATTTTAAATATAAAGAAATATATAATACATTTATTTATATTTTTTTATAAAATAAAAATTTTAATCATATTGGTTTTATTCTGTATGTGATTCATAAAAAATATGTGCCATAAATTTTATAATATTTAATAAAAATAAGATGTGTATTTTTAATTTATTTAAATATAAAGATAAAAAAAAAAAATAAAAAATAAAAAAAACATACATTAATGAAATCAGAAAATTGAAATATTAAAAATACTAAATAATACATAAAAATTAAAAAAAAAATAAAAAGAAAACAAAAATAAAAAAATGTATATTATAAAAATCAATACATAAACAAAAAAAAAAAAAAAAAAAAAATACATGTACAATGAAATAAATTTATAAACTTTTTTTTTTTTTTTGTTAGAAGCTAGTATTCTTTTAATTTCATCAGTTTTATTAAAATATCATGACTTATTCATGTAGTTTTAGTTTAAAAAAAAAAATTATGTTAACAAATTTTCATCTTATATTAAAAAATAATTAAAAAGAAGAATTATCATAAGAGCTCTTTAATAATAGAAATGTTATTAAAAAGTAAGGAAAATTAAAATAAAACAAAAATAAGTAAAAATAAATCTTAAATAACTCTGTTGTTAATTATATTAAGATTTATTAACAATGTTATATGTACATATAAAAAATTATTAAAATATAAAGAAATCTAATTATTTATATCATGCTGATTTATCCTTTTAAATATTTTAAAATTATACTTATAAAAAATATGTTTTATATTTAAAAGGAAAAAAAACGTTTAAATTTAGTAGGAATAAAGCAAAATAACAATGAAAACATTTTTTTTATATCTAATTTAAGACAAATTTGAGATAGCTCTCATCAACTGTATAACAAAAAAAAAAAAAAAAAAAGAAAAATTAGTTTAAATTGATAAGTACTTATAATTAAAAAAGTCATATTAATTGAAATTTAAAATATTATAATTAAATAATATTATATTAATTACAATTTGTATATGGGCTTTAATTTTGGATATCTGCTTGTTCCAATATGTCAGTTTACTAAAAAAAAAAAAGTGAAAATAACAAACCATGAAGAGAATATAAATAAATTATAATAAACACTGATTCTTTTTAAGAAATATAGAATAAAAATATGTAATATATTTTTTGTAAGTTTTTTATGTTCCTTTATATAATTATTAAAATTTTCATTTTTTACTCTTCATAAAAATTTATTTTTTTTTTTAGGAATACTATGGCATCTTCAAGAGTCATTTCTAAATAAAATTCGTATCCTATTTGTATGAATATTTTGTTTTTATTTAAACTATTAAAAATAAGAAAAAAAAATTTACATTATTTGCAATTTAATATAACATATGCACAAAAAAAAAAAAAAAAAAATAAAAAATAAAATAAAATAAATTATTTAAATTCGTTTTTTTTTTAGACATCTTACATGTCAGCATATGCGTAGCTATCACATCCTAATGATGTTAATGTTTCTATTTCTTTTTCATCCTTTGTATTAATAAACAAATTAAGATTTTCTATTAGAATTTCCCTGAGAAAATTAGATATTTTAATATCAATATATATTGTGTTTTAAAATTATTAATATCAATAAAAGTATAGTGTTTTCCTTTTAGCATTAATATATGAACATTCAAATATAAAAATTTAGTTTTTATACAAAAAAAAAAATATTTCAAATTATGTTTTTTAAGATATAAATGAAAATAAAATTTTATGAATCATTCAATATATTAATATTTATTTATAATTATATACATACATATCAAAAATATCTTGTAATATTTCATCCCTTTTTTTCTGTCGTTCTCTAAGTTGTTGATGTAGTACATTATCAATAAAATGTTCGCTTTTAAGAATTAAATTTTTGAATCCTTTATTTTCCTCATTTATAGCAGCATTTCCCAATTCTTCATACAAATTCATTTTTTCTGTTTTTATAATTTTTGTATAAAAAAAATGAAAATAAGAAATAATTATTATGAATTATAATAATTTTGAAAATATTACTAAAAATTATAGTACTAAAATTATAATTGTCGTATATAATATTTTTATTTTCTTGTTTTTTTACTTTTTTATTTTTATTTTCTTTTTATCATTTAATTTATTTTCAAAATTTTCATAAAAATGTCATTTTAAATTAGTAAAATATTAAAATTTATGTTACTCTCAAAATTAAAAAAAAATTATGTTCATCAAATTTGTAAGAATATTAACAATTTCAATTAATAAAAAAAATGTCATATTATAAATGAATATTTCACAACCTATGATCAAATTTATTTCGAAAAAATAACTTTTAAAAGCATCATGACAAAGAGAAAAAAAAAAAAAAAAAGAACGAAATAAGAAAAAATAAAAATAATTAGTATAAATAAACTAAAATAGAAGAAATAAAAATTATAAAATAAAAAATCATAAATAGTACAATAATGAAAATATGAAAATAAAAGCAAAATTTAATAATATTAAAAACAGTATATTATATAAAAATAATTCGTTAAAAAAAAAAAAAGAAAAATATAACAATTTGAAAAAATTTAACAAATAAATAAAACTACTTGACTAGAATATTTCTAAACAAACTATATAAATTCTTATATTTAAAAGAACATAATAGTTTAATTTATTTCCATAACCTTATATTTTTACTTTTTTTATTAGCATACATAGTTAATTAATTATCCATTCTAAAATTACAGAAATACATTTAATATAATTTTCATTTTCTGTATTAAAACTTTCTAATTTATTCTTAATTATTAAAAGTTTTTTTTTATATGTTGAACACTTTTCTTTTATTTGAACATAAGGAATTTTCAAGTTTTCAAATGAATTCATGTTTTTCATTGCTTTTTGAAATTTTAATAATTCTTGAAAACGATGTTTTTTCTGATAATTTTGAATTTTTAGAATACCTTCAAATGCGTAATATTCTTCATTTAGATGTTTCAAGTTTAATTTTTGATCTTCTTCTTGTTTTAATAAATTATTATGTATTTCTATTATTTCGATTAGATGATTGTTTAGTTGTTTCCTTTTATTTTTTGTTACTTTAAAATTTTTTTTTATTAAAGAAATTTCATGATATATTTTAAAAGAGACATTAACACCACTTTCATAATTTTTTTGAAAAATTTCCTTCTTATTATCTAAGTCATTTCTTTTATTTAAAGCAAATTGGATGCTTGATAGAATTGTGTTTTGTTGTTTTTTCATATTTTCTATAATTGTATTTTTCTGTTGTATTTGCTTTTTTAGTTGTATTATATCTTTATTTCCTATATATTCCTTTATTATTTCCTGCAATTTCCTTTCTTCTATAATTTTATTTTCAAAAATAAGAATTTTATTTTCATAATCTAATAGATCTTGTTGATATTGCATTTTTTCTTTTTTCAATTCATCTATTTCAATTTGTAAGTTTTCTTTCTTTTTTTTATCTCCTTCTGCCTTTATATTTAAATTTTCATTCCATTTTAAAATATCATCTTCTAGTTTTTTAATTTTATCTAAGGTTTCATTATTCTTAGATGCAAATTTTTCTAGTTGTAATCTGATATATAAAATGTTTTTATTTAATTTTTTTATTATGTTGTGTACATTTTTTAAATTTTCTTGCAGCTCACATTTTTTTTGATCTAAAATTACACATAAGTCTTTGTTTTTTATTATTTCATCATTTATTTTAACATTATCATTTTGTATTTTTACCATATTTGATTGTTTAAGGAACCACTGTTTTTCTAAAAATCTACTTTCTTTTAAAATATAAGAAATTTGTTTATTTAATTTTTGTATTTTTATTTCTGAAGTTACAGGTTTTCCAAAATCATCACTTTTTTTGTTTTTTTTATCAAATTCTTCGTTTAATCTATCTACTTCTACTTGTTTATTTTCAATTATATAATGATTTTTTTTTATTGTGTTTTCATAATTTGATAGAATATTATTTTTTTCATTAAATTCATTTTCTAATTTACCCATTTTTTTCTGCATATTTTCTATTTTAGTATTTTCCAAAATTTGTTGAATTTTTATTCTAACAATTGCATTTTTATAATTTTCTATTTCATTTTCTTTTTTACTTATATTTTCTTTAATAGAAGACACTTCATTTTTTATCTTAGATGCAAAATGGTTTACTTTTATTTCTTCAGTATAAACATTTATAATTTTATCAATATTTCTACTAATATCATTTTTTATTATCTTTATTGAACTCTCTTTATTCATTATGTCCTTATTTATATTTTTTATTTCGTCACATATAACTTCAGAATTTTTTTTTTCTTTATTTAATTCTATTCTCATTTTATTGTTATAAGTTGATATTTCATCTATATCTTTCTCTATATCTTCTTTTTTTTTTTTTAATTTTTTTAAATCATTTTTTAATATATTAAATTCCATATTAAAATTTTCCTTTTTTTCTTTTTCAAGTACAAATTCTCTATGTAATTTTTCGTTGTTTTTTTCTAAATCGTTAATATTTAATTTCAGTTCATTTAATTTGCTATTAATTTCATCAATAGCTTCATCTCTTTTCTTCATTTGATTAATGGATTCATTTAATTTTTTAACGATACTTTTTTTTTCATTTTTTAGAAGTAGTAATTCTTTCTTTCCATCACTTATTAATTTTTCTAAATTTTTACCCTCTGTTTCTTCATTTTTGCATAGATTTTTTTTTATATCATTATTATTTTTTATCTCGTTAATTTGATGATTCAATTTACTAATCACATTTTCTTTTTTATTAATTTTGTTTTCTTTTAATTTCATCTGTCTATCTGATGAAAGCATATTTTCTCTAATTTTAGAATTAGCATTAATAAATTCATAATATTTTTTTAAGTTATTTCTTTCTAAAAGACTATTATTATATTTATTATATATTTCAGCATAATAACTTAATTCTTTTTTTAAATTCATTAATTCATTATCGTAACTTTTTTTTAGCTCTATATTTTCATTTAAATAGATATTTTTCTTGCAATGTATCCTTTGTAATGACTCTATTACTTCTTGTTCTTTTTTTTCTAAATCTTCAATTTCTTTATTTATTCTAAATAGTTCGAGTCCCTCTCTTTTTACAACCTCTTCTAATTTAGATTTTTCATTTTTTTTATTCCTTAATTTCTCATCTAAAGTCATATTTTTTTTCTTTAACTGATCATATAAAATATCTTTTAATTTTCCAAGTTTATCACTAGCTGTTATCTCATTATTTTTATTTTTTAAATTAGAGAATTTTCTATTATTATTATTATTATTATTATTATTATTTTTTAAATTAAAATTTTTTTTTTCATCTTCTATTTTATTATTTTTTAAATCATCACTTGAAATATTCATGTAATTTGTACTTTTATAATATTTTTCTTTATCATGATCAACAAGATTATTATTATGTATTTTTTCTATTTTTATGAATTTATTCATTTTTTCATTACTAATAATAGAATCATTTGTTAATTCATAATTCATATTTTCTTCTAATTTTCCTTCATTGATAGTTATATTTTCTTCTATTTTGCACTCATTTATACTAAATTCTTTTTCACTTTTGTCTATCTCATTTAAATTATAAGAAGTTGATGTGACACTTAATTTATCACACTCGTTATTATGATTTATTTCTTTTTTCTTTTTTTTTAAATTTTTTGAATTTTTAGATGTGTATTTTTTATTACTCATATTTATCCTTTTTCTAGTTTTCTAATAAAATAACAGGAAAAATATATAATTATAGTAATATATGAAAAGGGAAAAAATAAATTTTAATGGAGATAATTAATAATTCATTATAGGAAAATATTTTTTTTTTTTTTTTTCTAGTATTAAAAATAAAAAAAATTTGATTTATAATATTAATAAAATTTTCTTTAATGAATTTTAACCTAGTCTTTATAATTTAGACAAAAAAAAAAAAAAAAATGTAAAATATTTATAGAAGAATAATTTTAAAAAATTTTTAGGTCCGAATAAAAAAGTAATTAAGAAGAAAAAAGGAATGAAATGAGAAAAGGAAACTTAATTGAGAATTTTTTTTATTAATTTAAAATAAATTAAATTTATTTAATTTCATTAAGTATAAAGTTATATAGAATGTCCTTTTTTTTTTTTATTTTTATTCTTTACATATTGATATATAGAGATATATATTTTCTCTTTATATAATAACATATCTTTATATATTTTAAGAAAAAAATAGTAATTTTGAACGAATTTTTTAATGAAATAAAAGGAAAAATTAATATATTTTACTAAACCCATAATATCATTTAAAAAAATTATTTTTTTTTTTATTATAATTATGCAACTTTGAATGTCTGTTCTTTTTTCGTAAGAGTCTTTAACTATAGAAATAAACTTATTAATGAAATAAAAATATGTTAATTTTAAATTTAAAATAAATCAGAAAGTATTATTATACAACTGTTTTTTTTTTTTTTATGAAAGTTTCAGAAAGGTTCAAGATTTCAGATTTTGAGGTATTCTGAATCTGAAGATAAAATTTTAAGAAATCTACATTTTAAAATTAAAAATTATAAAAAAAAAAAAAAATTGTAAAAACACTTTTAAAAAAATAAAACATAAAAAAAAAAATATAAAACAATAAAGATATTTTATCTTCATTTGCATAAAAATTTTTTTTTTTTCTAACATGTATTTTAAATTGAGAAAAGTTAATACAACTAAAATAATTAAGTTTAAAAAAAATGCATATAAACAAGAATTACATTTTTTTTAAAAAATATAAATTTTGTTATAAAATTTAAAAATAAATTTTAAATAGTTATCATCTTTTTATATTTATATATTTTACTTATATTAATTTTAATATTAGCTGTTTTCATTAATTTAACAAATTTAAATATATAAAATTTTATTATATTTTTTCTTTTTTTATTTATAATATTTTTTTATTTAAAAAAATAAATATTTAAAAAGATTATAAGTTTGTTTCATTTAAACTTTTTTAAACATTTTTGTTGTTTTTTCAATTCTTTGGTATTAAGAATTTTTTTAATACTTTTAATTTTCATTAATAATAATTAAATATTTAACATTTTTCTCTTTTTTTTTTTTTTTTTTTTGTTTATTTTTTATTTTGAATATATCTATGTTATTTTAATATTCGTGGAATATATAAGTTATTGATTTTTCGTGAAAATGCATATTCATAAATTAAGAAAGAAAATAAAAAAAAAAAAAGAAGGAAAGTATTTAACAAAAAAAAGTATATTAAAAAAATTATATATAAATGAAGATGAATTTAGAAAATTATGTATATTTAAAGGAATTTATCCTAAAGATTTTAAAGAAATCCCCTTAAAATATAGAAAAAAATTTTATAAACACAAAATATTTTATACAAGAAATGATTATTTAAAATTATCCCATGAAAAAATTATTCAAGATTTTAGAAAAATTAAAATATTTTTAAAAAAATATAAGAAATTTAAAATAGTATTACAGGATGAAACAAGATGTAAAAATATAATAAGCAACTTTCCAAAATATAAATTAGATCATATTATAAAAGAAAGATTTCCTGTTTTATCTTATGCAATTGAGCAGTTAGATGATTCCTTAAGTTCTATTGTAGCTTATTCTTTATTACCATCTAATGAGAAATTAGGAATAAAAAATAATTTAGTTAAATTGTGTGAAGATTTAAAAAATCATTTTCATTATTATGTATATAAAACAAACAAAATAAAAAAAGGATTTATAAGTGTTAAAGGTTATTATTTACAGGCTGAAATTTTGCAGAAAAAAGTTACCTGGATTATACCTCATATTTATACACCATATTTATCGAAATCAATTGATTTTCGTTTAATAACAACTTTTATTGAATACTATATTTCTTTATTAAAATTTGTTTTATTTAAATTATTTAAATTAGATAATTTACAATATCCACCAGAAGAAAACGAAACTTTAAAAAACGAAAAATTTAAACATTTATCTTTTGATCCTTACTTTATTTCTATATATGAAACAAAAAAAAAGGATTTAGAAAATAAAAAAGATAAGAACAAATATGAGAAAGAAAAAAAAAAAAAAAAAATTAAAAACAAAAACGTATGTGATGATGAAAAAGAAAATGGTAATCTCTCATTTATAAAAAGAAAGAACAAAATAAAAAGTAAAGAAAATAATGATGAAAATAAGAATGATCAAAGCGCAGAAAAGAGTATAAAGAATGAAAAAGAAACTCAAGGTGAGAAAGAAAATGAGAAAAATGAAATTTTCATAAATAATGAAGATAACGAAAGCAAAAATATAGTTGTAAAACATAATATAAATGATGAAGATAATACAAAAGAACTTTTTAAAGATTATATTTTCTATATTCATAATGATATGCCATTTGATATTTTATCAATTATTATTTTATCATGTGGAGGACAAATATGCTGGAAAAATTTATACTCACCATTTAAATATGAAAGTAACAAAATTACACATGAAATTATAGAATCTCATGAGTCTATCAAATTAAATGAATTTAAATATAAAAGAAACATTATACAACCTCAATATATTTTTGACTGCTTAAATCAGAAAAAAATATTACCATGTAGTGACTATTTTATAGATAAAAACCTACCAGTTCATTTATCTCCTTTTATTGAAGATGATAATTATAAAAATTTTGTAAAAAAAGAAGAGTATACAATAAATAAGATGCTAATTAAAAATGATTCTAATCAAGAAAAAAATAATTCCAATGAAAATGATGATGAAGAAATTTTAAAATCAGAAGATGAAATGAATGATATAATTCTTGAAAGTCATAGAAATGCTGCTTTAAATAATCAAGTTGAATTAGAAAATGAAGATAAAAATATAGATGCTATGAAAAAGAAAAAAGATATAAGTATTTCTAATATCAAAAATTTAAAAAACCAAGAAGAAATACAAAGAAACAAAATTGCTTTAAGTAAAAAAAAAAGAAAGTTATATTCAAGAATTGAAAGAGCAGAGAAAAAACAAAAATTAAAAGTAGAAAAATTTTTAAAAAAAGCGAAAAATAAAAAAGGGAAAAATAAATAATATGTTTAATCCTATTTATCTGAAGAAATTTTTTTCTTCTTATATATTTTTTCGAAATATTACATCATTTTTTATATCTATCTTTTACCTATACATAAATTTTCTTTTCTTTCTATTTTTACATTTTTTTTTTTTTATTATATGTACATATACTAGCAAATATCCATAATAATTTAAAGTTAAATTTATCCATATAAGAGGAAAAAATAAAAATAAAGTAAACATATAAAAAAGAACATACTTTGAAGTAAATTTATTATTACAAAAATGTATCTATAATTTTTAAAAAAAATGAAATTGCTTTTTTTAGCATATTTAAAAAAGATACTTTTTTTTAAAATGTTATTGTTACAAAAATTACAATTTTCTATTTATTTTTATGTCATTTTTTCATAACATTTTATTTTATTTCTTTTTTTATATGAATTATAGGATACTTCTCATATTTCTAATATACACAAGTGTTTTTCTTTTCCTTTATAGAAAAAAATATGAAAAATTACTAGTTATATTATTTGAATTTTAGAGAGAATATTATCTAATTAAAACAAAATAAAATTTTTTTTTTTAATAATGTATTTTTCTGTAAGGTATAGACTTTATAATAGCTCATTATTATTTTTTTTTTTTTTGATAATGTGTTAGTTAATTTACCCATTTGGTCGTATAGGGAAGTATTTCTTTTTTCATTTGATACATAATAAAAAAGGCTCTATAGAGATTAAATGTAAAATAACTAATTTTTAATGTTTATTAAGGACTATATTTTTAAAAATGTTCAATAATAAAAAAAAAAATTTTTTTTTTTTTTTTTTTTTTTTAATTTTTTTTTTTTAAAATTATAAGTTCTGAGCTTATTTCAATAAGCCTAAAAAATTTCTTGCATGTATTAGATATATTTAAAGTATAAATTATTTTAAAAGTCTCAATCTTTATATGCATATTAAAACACAAATAAAATTAAGTAAAAATATATATAATAAAAAATAATAATAATAAATTATTATACAAAAATTTCTATTTAAAAAATAAAAAGTAACAATATATATTCTCGATGAATCTCATGAATTTCCTAATTTTATAAAATTCTCATGCTATTGAAAAAGATATTGTAAAATTAAGATATATTAAGATAATTTCTATATATATATCTTTTTTTTTTTTTTTTTTTGTAATATTTTTTTATACCATATATATATATATGTTCTAATAATTTTTACTCTATTTTGTATAATAGTTATTTATTAAAACAGGATAAATCATTTTTTCATTAAAAAGTTCATTAAATATTTTTATTAAAAAATAGAATTTAAGTTATTATAATATTAAATAATTATTTGATATAATTTTTATTTAATTTATTCTTTAATATGTTAATATTTACAAAATTATAAATGAATTTAACAATTATAATGGTGTTCTTTTTGTTTTTACTTTTTTTTTTAATGTATGGAAGATTTTATTTAAAAAAAGTAAAAATAACATATTTCCATTTTAACCTAATACTTTGAGCCATTAAATATATAATAATATTTTATTTTTTATATAAGATACAATAAAAATATAACTTATTTAATTTTATAAAAAAGTTATTTTATTTTTAAATTATGTGATACATGTACTTTGTATCCATAATACAATAATTAATTCCCCTAGTAATTTTAATTTTTATGTTTGTCTTATTTTTATTTTTTCTTCAACTATCTAAAAAAAATTATAGAATGATTACAACATATTTTTTATCAAATAATTTTAAAGTATTTTAAAAGTTCAACAAAAAAAATAATAATCTAGAATAATAAAAAAAAAAAAAAAAAAGGAAAATAAAATTAAAAAAAACAGTAAATATTGTATATTTTATATTTAAATATCTATTATAATAAGAAATATGGACTTTAAACTGTCTTAAAGAAAAAAAACAAAAAAAAAAAAAAAAAAAAAAAAAAAAAAAAAAAAAAAAAAAAAAAAAAAATACAATTTGATAAAAATAAATTAACAAACAGCACAAAATTTTATTTTCTCATATTAAACGTTTTCATAAAAAAAAAAAAAAGTATAAAAAGAAAATTTTTCTGTAAGTGAAATTCAAAGAGAAAGACAGATTCCATTAAAAATATATACATAAATATATATACTTTTTTATTAAAATTTTTTACTTTTTTATTTTCGAATAATTATTTTAAATAATAAATATTATATAAAACGGAATTATAAAAGTCATATAATTTTAAATTAAAAATAAAAAAAAAAATTGTTTTTTTCGTGATAAATGTTAAATACAAATATTTAAAATTTCCCTAATTTTATATTTCTTTTTATTTCAAATATATATGTCACATATATATGATATTATATATTAAAAAAAAAAGAAAAAAAAAATATTAATGATATAAAGCATTAACACATTTAAAAACAATAAAAGAATAAAATAAAAAAATATATGCATATATTATGCTAAGCTTTAAAAAGATGAAATTCATATAAAATATTAATAAAAAAACAAACAAAAAAAAAAAAAAAAGATAAAAGATAAATAAATAAAAATACAACTATTATATATAAATATACATATAAATATATATATATAAATATATATATAAATATATATATAAATATATATATATACATATATATATATATATATATACATACAATACTTAATCTCTACATCTCCAAAATTATTGTTTCCTTTTTTTTTTTTTTTTTTTTTTGCATTTCTATCATTTCCTTAAATTAACTTTACTATAAACAAAATAGACTAAGATGATATTTTCTGATCATCTGTTACAGCTTCTAAAAAATTGCTAACTGCATGAGAATCAATGGTTGGAAAATGTAAATTTCTAATATATTTATTCGATAAACCTAGAGAGTTAGATAAAATTCTAGATGAATTTAAGGGATGTTTATTATCGATAACATTATTGTAAGGATTCGTAATGGAATTTTGTGTATAATTCATGGAATTTTTTTTTGAATTATTTTTATCATTAGTTAGACTTGATCTCAATAAATCTACTGAATTGAATGATTCATTTTCATTTTTTGCGCATTCAATAAAAAAATTTAAATTATCTTCTACTTTAATATACCCATTATTCCCCATATTTAATTTATTTATTTTTTTATTAGATGATTGTTGATCATTTATATCACTAGGAATATCTGTATTTATTTTATTACTTATTAAACCTTCTTCGTCATTGGAATATAATAGACAATCTTCCTTTAATTGATTATCTTTTGCATATGATATGGAAGCATCACTATTAGAATTATTAGAATTTCCTTTGGATATATTTTTTACATTACTCCTTAATAGGTTGCTTGCAGCAACATGACTTTTCTTTTTTCCTTTTTTAGAATCAGAATTTTTTAAATCTGTATGATGCTTATATTCTTTTTCCCATTCTGTTCTTTTTAATATAGATAATTTTCGTGCTTCGTTATATCCATACTTACTTACACTGAAACTAGTAAATAATCTCTTATTATTTGCTATTTGAAAATAAGCATTCCATTTACCTACTCCTCTTGGAGATTTAGAAAAATAAACTCCTTTCACTTTATCATCATTCGGATTTACTCCAACTGGCATTTCATATTTTAATTTTCCTATACCATAATTTGTTGATACAGGACTACCAGAAGCATTTTTTACATTTTTGGTATTTTTGTTATTCATTGCTATATTTTTATTAATATCATTTTTACTTTTATAATTAACACTGCTTTCTACTTTCCCATTATTTAGTATTCCATCATTATTTTCTTGATTATTTATAGATAATTCAGAGCCATTAGCACTAATTTTAGAATTATAATCAGGATTATAGTCATAACTATTCTTTTTTTGAATACTATTATTGTTTATATTATAATTGCTGTTTATATTAATGCCATTACTATTATTGTTATTACTATTATTAACACTACTATTATTACTACTTATATTATTTGCAATGGTATTATGTTGCAAAGAATTTTCACGTACATTACTTGAACTATTAGTATTTAAAATAAAATCATATAATGTGCTTGGATTAATATGATCTGCAGAGTTTTTAAATGATCCTTTTTTATTTATGCTTTCTTGCGATAAATTTAACATATCCTTAAAATTTTTTAAATTATTTAAAATATTATTTTTATATACATAGGATTTTCTTGAATTTACGTGAGAACTACTATCATCTAATGTTAAATCATTAGAATCTTTTTTTCTAAAGTCATTATGCCCATTCTTCTTATTTTCTAATAAATTAAATTTTAATTTTTTTAAAACATTAGTGTTGTATAAAAGATAATTTAAGTCATAACATGAATTATTATTCATATTTGAACCATTATTACATTTCGATAAATAATTATCATATATTTTTCTTTTTCTTAATATATTCTGAAAACTGTTCGATAAATAGTTCAAATTGTCATTTGAATTTAATAATCCTTGATCTCTTTCATATTTAGAGTAGTTTTCTCTGTCTTCAAAACTTTCTTCTTCATTCAATTTATAATTTGGAATCAATTTGTTTAAGTCATTATTACTTGAGCACTCTAGTTTCAACTTATTTTCATAGTAGTTTTTCTTTGATTCTTTTGAATCATTTTCAGCGTTGTACATGTCACTTATTCCTTTGTCCTATAACAAAAAAAAAAAAAAAAAAAAAAAAAGGAATGAAAATTAATAGATATAATAATGATTTATGAAAAATGATAAATATATATATAATAAATATAAAATATATTAATATACAAAAATAAAAACATATAAATGCATATTTTATTTAATTTCTTCTATACCTCTAGAATATTAGTTGAGTTTAGGTGAGCATATAAACATTTTAAAAAATTTAGGTCATTTGCATTTAAATCTAAATCTTTTAATTTTATTTTGTCATTTTTACATAAATTCTCATATTCAGAAATAAACATTTTTAGTTGCAAATAAGCATTTAAATTATTGTTATTTATATCTTGCATATTTGTATGACTGCATGAGCTATACATATTTTCACTATCTTTTGAATTTATTTTACTCAAATTTTTATATTTTTCAACCACTTTCTCTGCTTCTTGAATATAATTGTTATTAAAATCGTTATAAGAATTATAATCAATACTAACATTTAATTTGTTCAAAATGTTTTCATCTGAATAGTTACATTTTTTTTTACATCCACTAGATCCAATAGAATAATTATTATAATTAGTATTATTGCCATTTGTACTACTATTATTAATTATATTATTTTTATTATTAATATTATTGGTAGAATTACCTATATTACTATTTATACAATTAAAAGGAAAACTGTTTGAATAATTTAAAGACATGTTACCACATGAATGATTTGTATGCGAATTACATGTATGATTACTTTGATTAGCTGTACAATTTCCTAATGAATTACATATATTTCTATTGCTGCAATTCAAATAATCTTTTCCTTTTTTCAAATCAAAAATTAAATTTGAACCATTATATAAATTATTCTTAGATGATCCACTAAAAATAGATAATGTATTATGTTCTCCTTCTGAAGTATTCATATTATTTAAATAATTATTATTGCAATATGGATTTTTCAAGGTTAACTGAAATATTTCTTCAATAATTTCTTTTGTTAGGTTATTTTCTACTTCTTCTAAAATTTGCTTATGGAATTCGTTTTTATCCATTACTCCTTTTTCATTTATATCCTCCTTTTTTTCGGACATTTTAAATTTTTTTATTATTTCTAATTCTTCAATACATTCAATAATTGAATCCAAAAACACATTTTTAATGAAACATATTTTTATATTCGAAAAACAACATAAATAATTATCTAAATTATTTGAATTTACATTATTTAATAAATTCACAAAATGATATTCAAATGTTTTATCTGTTTCACTCCATAAAGATGTCAACCTTTTCAAAATTCTCAAATAACTTAAGCATATAATTTTAAGCTTCATCAAATTTTCATTTTTATTAGTCGATTCATTGTTACCTGTATCAACAATACAATTAAAATTATCACAACTACCATTTTCTAACATTGTATCTTTTGACTTTTTATTAATTTCTAAATTATTTTTTTCTTCATTCAAATATTTGTTTAACTGATTATTTAATCGTTCATCATTTTTTAAATTTAATAAATTATCTATTAATGAAAGTGTTTTATTTTGATCATTTCCTATTTCCTTACTATTCTTTTTTGTTATAAGTTCCTTAATTAAGGAATTTTTTAAATTAACATTATTTTCATCAATTAAATTCATGTCTTCATTTAACTTATTCATATTATTTTCTATTTCATTTTCCCCTTTAAATAGTGGGTTTTCTTTTTTTATTTCTTCTTTGTATCCACAAGGACTGTTGTAACTAATAAAATTTTCATCATATTTTTCTTTTGATTCTTCATCCTCACATGCTTTATCTAACAAGGTATTAGAACTATTAACATTAATATTATTATTACTATCACTAAGATTATTTTCATTAAAATCAGGGGGAAAATCATTCTTTTTATATATATTTTCCATATCATATAATAAAGATGTTTCTTCTTTTATAATTCCATTCTTATCTTCAATTTTATAATTTAAATCAGATTTATTGCTACACATTTTTTCATTTTGCGATTCTTCCATCTTTTCGTTTTCATTTTCTATATCATTCTCATTACCATGCTCTTTTTCATTTAATTCCAATTCTATCTTAGGAGATTCAAAACCAACTTCCTCATGATCTTCATTATTTTTGTTTTTTATTATTTTCTTATTTTTATCATTTAGATTTTCATAATCATCACCTTCGCGATGTTCACTATTCATATGTATATTTTCATTTATTTGCTTTATATTTTCATAATCATTTGAAATATTAGCACATTTGGAGTTATTATTAAATGTTCCATCATTTACACTTTCCATACTTCCGCCATTAATTACGTTAGAAGTTGTTGTTCTACTTATAGGATAATTCTGAGTTTTTTGTTCTGAATAATTCATATAATTATCCATTTTATTTATAGAATCTTCATTATATAGTTTTTTTAAGTCTTCTGAATTATCGTTTTCACTTTTTATAACTTTCTTACTTTTTTCATCAAGTTTACTACTTTTCTTATTGGTATTTGAACTAGTTCTTAACTCTAACATTGCAACCATAAAATTCAAAAAAATGTAATGCAGATTAAACAAAAAATTGGAAAAAAATTCAAAACTTTATAACTTTTTACAATTTTTTTTAACTTCAAAAATAAAACCCATAAAATTAAAACATTATAAAAATTTTTTCTACTTTTAAATTAGATAATAAATTTATAACATCTATGGTTGAAAAATATATATATATATATATATATACATATATATATAAGCTTTTTCTAAATGTAAAATCTTTAAATATATAATTGAATTATTTTTATGTAAAATTAAAAAATTAAATTTCTACGTAATTCAGTAAAATAATAAAAATACATTCTCATTTTATAATAAAAAAGTATGTAAATGAAATTTTAAATTAATTGTGAAAGTAAATATTTTGTTCAAAATAACTTAACAAAAACAAATAACCAAAAAAAAAAAAAAAAAAAAAAAACAAAAAATATATTTAAACAAAAATAAGTTTTTATCAGTACTTTATTTTTATACTTTTTAATTCAACATTTTATAATAAAAATATATAGATACACATTTAAAAACATATAGAAACTTGTTAGTTATAAAATGACCTTAAAAAATAAATTGTCATTGTAATAGTTAAAACAGTTAAGTTTATATATATATTTTTTACATAAAATAAAAAAAATTGAATTTTTGTTTAAATAAAATAATAAATTAAGAAAAGCATTATGTACCAATATATATTAAATTAGGCTTAACTAATTTTATCATTAAGCTTTATTATATATTTCGACATATTTTTACGTACTAGATTTATTAATGCTTATTACAACATTTATTTTAATACATTTAATTGAATACAAAAACGTACATTTAACAGAATTATCTCAAAGTAAAATTTTAATAATGCATTTTAAATTTATAAAAAAATTCCTCTTTATTTTACATGTACATATATATATATTTGTTTTTTTTAATTTTTTTATAAGAAATATAAATGTGTTTTGTTTTAAAAAAGGTAATGTACTTAAAAAATTAAAAGAAGAAAACATAATAATACACCCAAATCACGTAAATATTTATAAATACATTATAGAACAACATAAAAAAATATTACCTTTTTAAAAATAAAAATTTCCACTATGTTTGAGGGGAAAAAAAAAAAAAAAAACTAAGAAAATGTGTATTTATGCTATAAAAATGCTGATATAAAAAAGTATTTTATCTTTTTTATACATATTTTACGGCTACTCAAAAAAAAAAAAAAAAAAAAAAAAAAAAAAGGTTCACATACATAAATACATATAAAGGTTGTATAAACAAAAAAATGTATATAAAAATAATATTCAAATTTTTATTCAACATATAACTTGAGCAATAATATGCATATATATTTTGAAACAATTAAAATTATAAAATATGAAATTAATGACAAAATAAACAGCTTATTCAGCATACGTACGAATTAAGAACAATTTAATATGCATACGAACATTTATATATCATTTAATATTTATATATTTTTGCATACTTAGGCCTATATAATTTTTTTTTATTGTAAATTATCAAATGTAGAAGAAAAATAGAATATGAAAACATGTAAATTTATAAATATAATAAAATTTAATAAAATGAAAAGTGATAAAATATATTAATAAATGTATAATGTTATGAAAAAAGTATAATATATATTTTTATTTTATATTCACCAAATGTATTAAAACACAAAATATCATTTAACAAAATTAAAAAACAAAAAAAAAAAAAAATAAAAAAAAAATAAATTATATAAAAAAATATTTATTGTTGTATATAATTTATGAAAAAAAAACATTAATTCATATATATATATATATATATATATATATATATATATATATATATATATATATTGAATGAATGTATAAAATATGGAAATATTTATTGTTAAAAAAAGAAATCAAATGATATATAGCATCCGTTCTCTTTTACTATAATAATAAAAAATTTAAAAACATTCCGAACGATGAAATATGAAATAATTATTTTTATGTATTCATAAAATGATACATTATGAAGATAATACTGATATAGATTTACAACAAAATTGAAAGAATATATATAAACTAAAAATATTTTATAATATATAAAATAACATAAAATATATACTAAATTTCTTATTTTTTGTTTTCAATTTTCGCTTTTTTTTTTATACTATAATTTTTTTTGACATCTCAAAGAAAAGAAGGAAACAAAAATTTGTTCAAACATATGCATGTTTCCGCTGCTTGTGGAGAAATAAATTTATATCATATGTATTAATAATGAATGTTTTATGAACATGAATAAATAACATAAAAAAAAATGTTATATATTAATCATATTTACAACAATCAAAAAAATTATGCTCTTTTTATTTTTCTACAACCGAATCTTATAATAAAAAAAATAATTACTGCTCTTTCTATATACTTTTTTTTTTTTTTTTTTTCTTTTAACAAAATATTAAAAAGATTCCTTATTTCGTGTGCATGTAATTTCACATACTGATAATATTAGAAAAAATATATATGTAAGTTTGCATGCAAGATATATCAATGTGTGTTTTCATGCACCATAAAAACATGCTTTTATGCAGTAAAAAAATTAAAAATCAAGTATTCATTAAAATTAATGCATTTGCTGTAAAGTTAAAAATAAATTTTCTACTGTGAGATAATATAAAAAATATATATGCTTTATATATATTTTATATTTTGTACAGCATAATATAAAATTTATTATGAATAGGTGCACATTTTAAAAAGTTAAAAAAATAAAAAAGTGGTAAAGTTGTTTTTAAATGCACAATTTACTTGTTCTATGTATTTATTTTTATGTTTAATATATAGGCACAAAATAACGACTAAATGCATAAAATTATTTAAATATATTTTTATTTTAGGTTGATAAATATATTACTTTATAAATAAATATTTTTAAAAGGGACTTTTTTCTGTTTATAAAGTTTTATAGAATTATATATGTTTTATGTAAAATAGTATATGCACACGTTTTAAAATATTGTACATACAAAATTTAATGTAGTATATACCAAAATTAATAGTAATATGCATATATTTTAATTATTATATACATATTATATTTCTACAGACATATTTATTATATTTTATTACTTTTTTTTTGTATAAAATTTTTTGTTTATCATTTTTTTTCGCACACAGAATAAATCTGAAAATGCAAAACAAATTATAAAAAAAATGTGCACTCATAAACTTTTGTAGATTTAATTAAGTAATAAATTTTAATACATATACTGAAAATTTATAAATAAAATTATTAAAAAAATTTATCGGATAGGCAGAAGGTGATGGAAATTGTGTAAAATAGCAAGTTAAATAACAAAAGAATAAAATTTCTTTATATTTTTACATATTCTATATGTTATAATATTTAACATACATTAAATGTAAATATCATAAAACATTTATTTAAAAATATATATATTTTATTTTTTAAAAGTATTTCCTTCACAAGTCTTCTATATGCATACATATTAAAAAAATAATTATTTTATTTGAAAACATTAAAAAAATTATATTAAATTAGAGTTATTTTAGAAGTATTTTTGTTCTTCAAAAATTATAGTAATATAAATACATTTATGTTCACCTAAAAAAAATGGAAAATATATAAAATAAAAGTAAAATTTTATTTTAGTGTTTTTAAATGTAAAAGTAATTAAATTTTTTTGAAAAAAAATATACAGAAATGTTAATTATAAATTACACCAATATATTTTTGTTGTTTATTCTTCAAGTAAATGACTATTTTTTTTTCTATTCATAATATATGCACATACATGTAATATATTTATATATATTTATATATATATATATATATATATATATATATATATATATATATATATTATATATATTATATATTTATATTTATATATTTTTGTATAAATATATATATTCAAAAAAATTTATGAAGAACTTTATTTTTGAGTAATAAATATAAAATGTATTAACTTTAATAAAAAGTATACTATTTTTCATTTAATTTTTAAATTTTTTATTTTAAACTTATATAATTATATTTAGTAAACTTTTACTTAGTAAAGGATAATTATGGATATAAATAATAGTTTATTTAATAATGATTTTTTTTTTATATTTAAGAAAGTAAGATATATATCTTAATCATTGAAGATAAAAGCTAAAATTCTATTTCTATCTAATGCAAATAATAGTGTAAAAATTAAAAAAAATATATATGAAATATATAATTAAAATTTTTTTTTTTTTTTATTATATTGTGGTTAAATTATAAAGAGTAGAATGTTGTTTTTTTTTGCGAAGTTTTTATTTTTTCATGACGTGTGTGCATATAGTTTCATCAGTATCCCGAAATTTACTTCTTGTGTGTAAAATAAATTGAATAAATATTCATATATTTCAATACGATTATGAAATTATATAATTTTTATAAATTTCTTCTAGCACCTACGTGAAAATGTAAAGAGTTTGATCATATAATAATTTAAGGAGAACTATTTACTATTAAATTTTTTAAAAAATTATTGTTACATACATATATATATTTAATTAACGGGGAAAAAAAATTGCATATTTTTGTGTGCAACGTTATATATATTTTTTTTTTTTTTTAATTTCTATAGTATTTTAAAATTTACAAATTTAAGCATAAATATCACAATTTAATAAATAAATATTAATATTATAATTTTTTATTTTTGTATTTTTATTCAATGTTACCCCTTTTTTCATCAAGAAAAAAGAAGAGTTAAACAATTTTAAGTAGAAGTATAACATTATACTCTAGCAAAATATTTATGTCCTTTTTATTGTATTAATTTTTTTTATTTTTTTATTTTGCAAAATAAAAAATTAATTTACTCATTTTAAAGAACAATGCATGGTTATAATTTTCATTTTTAATAAAATGACAAATTATTAATTAAATATTTGTAAAATAAAATACAATGTTTTTATTTTTGCGGAAATTTAATAAAAATTATTTTATAAAACTAAATGCAACAAAAAACTCATCTACGTTCTTTTATATAGAATTATGAAAAATCTAAAAAATTTAATAAATCTCATTTAATATGATTGGAAATAATATAAATATTAGAAGCATAAAAAATAGAAGTAAAAATATGTAGAACATTTATTTTTTATAAAGAAAATTATAAAACTAAATTACGTATATATATATATTCATTTTTTCTAAGATTATTTATTCTTTTATAATATACATACTTTCATATTATATATATATTATATATATTTTGTAACATGAAGGGAAATTAATATTTTGTTATTTTAAAAAAAATAAATAAATAAAAATTAAAGTATATTTTGTTACATTTACTGTAATATGTTTAACCTATTTTTTTACATTTATTATAATAACGTAAAAAAATAAAAAAATTTAAGATATGATATAATAATTTAATTTATTATTACACTTAACATGCAGAAGAAACTATAATTCTTCAATTATTTCCTTTTAATTGATATTTAGAATAATCTATATATGTTAATTTTATAAAATAATTTTAAAATTTTTTATGTAATTATTTTAAGAAGTATGGATGCTACATGCAAATTTAAATTTATAAATTTAAAACACTGAAAAGGGAACTATTCTCTTAACATTGACCTATTAACACATATAAAAGATATTTTTAATAAAAATATTTATTTAAACTTACATATTGGTAACAAGGAAAACTTTTTTTTATTCTTAAAAATTATGTACCTACTTTTATAACAGGCCTATAACCTTATTATTGCAACAAAATAATATGAATAACATCATTTCTTTATTCTAAAATGTAATATTTGTACTACTAAATTAGTCGAAATGTAAATATATTATGCTTATTTAAATGAAATATATATACTGTGAATTACTTTAATAGTATTGATATTATTTTCTACAATTTAGTTAAAAATGAGGACAAACTTTTAATTAAATTGTTTTTTTTTTTTTTTACTTAAAGTATTTACAACAATTGGGTACTTAAGGAAAATTTAAAAGTTATACGTAATAGACAGATAAAAATTAAAAAAAAAATGATAAATATATAAATATTAAATAGTGAATAAATAAAACATGGAAAAATTATTGAATTTACATATATAAATAAATCTAACTAAACAATTAACAAGTATATAATATCATTCTATGAAAAATATATATATATTAATAATTTAATGACAATAAAAGAAAAAAAAATATATAACATTAAATGGAAGCGATTGTATATATAATATTAAAATAAATATAAAAATAAATATTTACAAATGAATTAAAATGAGCAAAAAATACTGTTTATAAATGGTGCAGAATGCAAATAAATTAACATTAAGAAATAAAATTGCAAATTTATTCAAAAATATCCAACATTTTTTGTCATACGTGAAAATTTAAATATTAACTGAAATATTTTTACTCCTAAAAATAATTCACCTTTAGGCAATTAAGATAGATATATTTAAAATCTATATTTTTTTAAATGGATATACGATAAGTGCAATTTTTTTTTTTTTTCTTTTTTTTTTTTTTTAAATTAGTGAGCGTGTTTTAATCTGATAACTGCATATTAATTATAACAATAAAAATGTAAGTAAATTTGTATTAAACTATTGAATTAAATGTATTTTTTTTTATTTTGATATGTAAAAATATTTCTTTTTTGTTTATTTAAAAATTCGTGACTTTTGTTATGAAGATTAGAAAAATGTTTAACACATTCAAAGCTGTCATAACTAGAGGAACTTTCATATGAAAAGTATTCTTTATCATTATAATTCAATTTTAGTGAATCTTGATATTTTTGATTATATGTATTTGAGTAATTAAAAAAATTTTCATTACTATTCTTATGATCCTTGTACATATAATTATCGTGATAAGAATTTACATTATTAAAATATGTATTTATATGGCTTGTATAATCATATTTTTCCATTGATTGTCTTAAGTTGATTTCCTGATCATCGCATTGGAGATATTTACTTTTTGAAATTAAATTATCACAACAGTTATTATTTTGATCGTCTATAATATTTTCGTTCTTCCTGCAACAAGAATTAGTATTTTTGCGGAAGCTATTTTCAGTATAGTCAATATAATCATAATTTATTCTTCTTTCAACTGTTCTATTCTTATTACTATCACCTGAAAAATTATCCATATTTCTTGAAAGTATATTGTTTTTATTTTTATAATATTCAGTGTATTTCATGAAATCATTACTTAAAATTTCTTTGTTTGAATCTATTTCTAAATTATTAATCACTTCCTTTTTTACACTTCTATATCTTATAGAAGAGTTAATATCATCATAATAATTATTTTTGCATAATAAATTATCATAATTTTTTTCATTATTGCAAAAATCTTTCGATTTTTCTTTAATAGATTTATCATTATTATTATTATGATTACAAATAGATGATGTATTATAATAGTAATTATTTGTACGTTTATAATTGTACATATTTGGTGAGTTTATACTATTAATATAATTATTAGTATTGTTTTTACTATCATTGTATAGAAAACTCATATTATTATTGTATTCATAATTACAAATATCAAATTCTCTTTTATGTTTGACTGACGGAACAAAAAGAGGATTACGAGCTTCCTTTGGTGTACTAGGATATTCAAACCCTTTATTTCTATTTAATTTTAAAATACTATTATCAGCAATGTTTAGAGGAGCAGTAAATCCAATTTTTTGAGTTGGCAAACGGTAAGATATACTTAATAATCTTAATTGTAAAATAATAAAATCATAAATATCTGTTCTCAATTCAAAAACTTTTCTCCAATTCCCCCATCCTTCAACACATTTAATCCAAAAACTTATTTCGTAAAAATGACCTGGCTGTAAAGAATATCCAAAGTATAAATTTTTAGTTTTGCAAAAATCACTAGGCCTACTATCAACAAGAAATTGTAAACTTTTTCTTAATTCTTTAAGAGCTACTAATGGTGTATTAATATCTACTTTAAAAGAAATATCAATATAAGCATTTTTTGAACGACTTTCATTATAAATTTTCGCATTACTTAATTTTGAATTTTCATAAATAACTATTTTTCCAGTTGTTGTTTCAAATTCGGTAGTGTATGTTTTTATTTTTTTAATGTACATTGCTTCCCCCCCATCCAATCTTATTCTATCTCCTATATTGTAAGGATTAGAAAAAGCGATAAATATAACTGAAGTTATAAAACTTGTATACATATAACTTAATATAACTGTTACTGCTGTTATAAATGCTGCACCCGTGACAATTATAGTATCAGCAGAAACTCCAAAAATAAATAAAAGAACAACAGAAGCTAAAAAAGACATTAATATCGACATTAATCTTCTTACTAATTTTAAAATGCTTTCTTGACCTTTTAAACTCTTTATAAATTTTTTTCTACATGTTATGGCTCTTTTTATTGCATTTTTAAACATTAAAACATCAATTCTTCCATGACCAGATAAATCAAATTCTTTCATAAATTCTTCCGCTTCCTCAGGTTTTAAAAACACTTCAATCATTTCTTTTGTTATAAATTCATTACCATTTATATTTAACTGTAATGGACTTCTTAAATTCATAATAAATGGATCATCTATCTCTAATGATATATCTTTTTTGATTCTACTTAATTTTTCTTTTTTATTTTTCTTAATGCATAAACAATTTCTAACTTTTATTCTTCTATTATCTTTAACTTTTTTCACATTTATAGCATCACTTCTTTCTAGTATATTCAGTTCTTCATTTAATAAATGTGACTGATAAAAAAATGCATTTTTATTCGAAGATATTTTATTTTTAATTTTTTTACTAACTTTACTCATTTCATTTGTATTTCTTTTTTTCTTATCACTATTAATAAAAGAAGCACTAATGTCTCTTGTTTCTGTTTCTTTGTTTGTACCATTTAAAAAGTTAGTTGCATTATTTAAAATATCTTGTTGTAGAATTTCTTTTTCTCCTAAAGGAGATCCTAGTGCATCTATCTTTTTAAATATAATTACATCTTTTTTATTTTCTTCGTTAATGTCGCAACTGCCAAATTTACTCATAGTCTTCATATAAGGATCAGATTTTTTGTCATCTTGAGTTTCCTTTTGATGTATAGTGTCAGTAGTATATTTTTTTTTTAAAACATCTTCAATAGAAAAATCTTTTATTTCAACAGTCATACTGTTATACTTCTCTAAGTTAATGTAAGAATTTCTTATTTCCTTATTATTTACTCTAAATTCATCTTTAATATTTGTTCCTATATTGTCATCATTTATATTATCATTTTTCATTATATTATTTTTTAATTCACTATTTTCATTAGGTATTTCTGATAAAGATGGAGTAATATAAATATTAAATTTTGAATCATTTATACTCATATTTGTTTTTTCATTAGAATCAGTATTTTTTTCTTCTATGAATACTTTTTTGTCTAGGTAATTCAAAGTAGTATTTTCCGTTTTGTCTGTAATATTTAAGTTTTCTTTTTTTTCTTCCATCAGAGTTTTTTCATGAATATTTTCATTAGTTAAATTTTTTGTATCATAATATTTTTGTATTATTTTATTTTTATTATCATTAAGGGTGTTTTTATATATGGAACCATAATTAGTGGCATTGTCATTGACCTTTTCTATTTTTTCATCCTTTTTATTATTATCTATAGTATTTTTTACTTCTTTCATTTTTAATTTACGAAATTTATTTAATCTAGAAGCTATTTTTTTTTCTTCTTGATCGTTTATAGCACTAGTCTTTTCATTCTTATTATCTAAATTCATTGGTAAATTTTTATTATGTTCTTTTTGTAATCCTTTTAATGTATTATTATTCTCGTTATCATTGCTTTTATTATTAATATTGTATTCTTTACTTTTTGATGAAGTACTTTTTTTTTCTATGTTATCTATTTCATTTATGTTTTTTTCCAGTACTTTTTCTTTTCCTTTATTTATGAGAGTAGTATTGCTACTGTTCCCAACCTTTTTTCCTTTATTTTTCAATTTCGTTTTATTTTTTGAATTAATTGAATATTTTTCCTCATTTCTTTCTAGATGTTTCTCCTCACTTTTTACATCTTGATCAATATCATGAAAAATATTTTCTAAATTAATTTTCTTTGCTTCTGTATTTGTTTGTTTTGTTGTATTATTATATAACAATTCTTCTTCTTGTGTTATAATATTAGAGGCTTTATTTAAGTTAAAATTTAACTTGTTATTATTTGGAGATAACTCATCTGATGAGTTATTATTCATAGGAGTTCCAGTAAATACAAAAGTGTCATTTTTATCTTGATGATATATTTTTAAAGACATTATAATTTGCCTAAAAAAAATTTCACTTCCATTCTTAATAGAATTTTTATTTGTTAAGGCGATACTATTATTTAATAAAAATAAAAGAGGGGGAGTATTAACCACATAATGACAAGCTAGCCAATTTTTTATGGAAGAGCTTTCAGATTTTATAATATTTTTTTCTTCAAAAACTGGTGGTAGTAATAATTTCATAGTATTTTTTTTATTTCTTTTTAAAGGTATTTTACAACAAGTGCAATTCCTAGGTAAATTTTTAAACAATAACAATTCAGCTTTATCTTGAACGAATTTTTTACTTATATCATTTGTCTCTAATTGTCTAATTAATTTTTCATCTTGATACAATTCATATCCAAATAATGCTCTAATATTTTCTTGTTTATCAGCTACAAACATAAACCATTCAATATTAAATTTACGTAAGGTACCATATTTTCTTAAGTATCTTCCTAATAAATCATGGGCATTCATTAAAAATCCAAGTTCAAAAACGAAAGAAATAATAGATAAAAAAAGTAATCGTGCAGCAAAAACTATATATAATAATATAGGAAAAGTAATTAACCAATGTATACTATATAAAAACTTAAAAGGGTTATCTTGATCTTTATATCCAAATATCCTTAAAATATAATAGTCACCACTTTTATCTACTCCATTTTTTAAAATAAGATTACTACGCCAATAAATTATTTGAACAGAAGACCATAATAAATAAACTAATTCGGGATCTACTGTATTATAAAAAGCTGCACATAAAGCACTTGGCTGTAACATTTTTTCTAATATAACTTTTTGAACTATTGCATGAAAAATCATTAACATAGCAAAAGATGCAATATTTACTCCCAAAATTAAAAAACTGCAATATATACTACCAAATATAAAACTTCTATTATATTTTGGCTCTGTTATAGGGTCATGAACATTTGGTTCTGACAAAGAGCTTAAACCAACACATAAAACAATTAAATTCATAATTAAATGAATAAAAAACCATAATCCTGGTGAAAAATCTGGAAAAATTATAGATACTATTCGGAATATTATATCTCCAATTGTTTCATTTTCACTTTCGTCATCCTCTTCCTCTTCTTCTTGTAAAAATTGAGGATTATAGGAAGATTTTTGAATATATAAATTTAATGCATTTATTCTATCCTGTTTGTTTATATATGATCTAGAAATATCCATCATTGATTGAGGATATTTTGTTTTGGAATTATTTTTAAAATTTTCATCTTTTATTTCATTCATTTTGTTCGATATTTTTCTAATTATATATATATATATATATATTTTTTTTGTTCTTAATTTTTTTTATATAAACTAAATATTCTTTTTTTCTTTTTTCGTTTTAATAGTTTTTTCTTTTCTTTTTTGATATTTTTTTTTTTAGTATATTTTCTATATAACATTAATTTCTTATAATAGCCCTTTTATTGTCTCTCAGCTTTTCTTCTATTTTCTTTCAAATTTTTTTCTTTTTTACTTAAAATATTTTTCTTTTTTCTTTTTCTTTCTTGTCCCTTATACTTTTATTTCTTTATTCAGTTTAATTACTTTCTTATAAATTTAAAAATTTTTAAGAATTCAACAATAAGATAAGAAATTTTTAGACAAAGAAATTTTTCATAATTCAGAAAAAGAAAATTTTTTTTTTTTTTTAGACGGAGTATAAATTTCATAAATTTATGTAAATAACTAAAAATATGTCACAAATATGTAAAAAATTTATTTCATATTTATATGTATTCATAACTTTAAGATTATATTTAAAGAAATTATTTTTCTTCAGAATCTTTTTTTTTTTAAAGTATAATTAGGCTATATTCTAAGTGCAAAGCAAATGCTTCATTATAGCATTTTTTATTTATTATATATTTTACATTCTTTTAATTTTCAGTATTAATTTAAATACATTCTTAAATTGTTTTCATTTATTAAATTATTAATGGAAGCTAAAGCATAGATATTTATAAAATAGCTTATTATATATAATATTTTTATAATGGATAAAATACACCTAAATATTTATTAGTAATAAGAGAAATTAAATGAACTGATTTGACAGCATATAATTTTAAAAAATATATTTAATATAGAATTTGACAATATTTTGAAGGTTATAAGAAAAAAAAAAAAAAAATGTGGTTATATAACATTTAAATATATATATATATTTTTACTTAAAATATATGAATGCCAAATAATTCTTAAATGAAAAAATGTAAACAAAAATAAAAATTAAAAATAATCATATTAATCATAATTTTTTCAAGTTGTATATTAAATGTACAGAAAATAAAATAAAACAAAATTCATTTTTGTATCAAGGATACTTTTATATTCTTGATTAAATTTTTATCAGCAGGAAAAGAATCTTAAATGCAAAATTTTAATATAGAATGTGTTATTTTTTTTTTTTTTTTTCCATTTTTGTATAAGTCAAAAAAATTTTATTTAAAATTTGAAGTATATTTTTACAGATTATATATATCCATGTGATCTGTATTTTTCTGAAACCGGTGTCATTTATTTTTGAAAATATTTTTAATAAATTAAAAATATTACTATTTTATTTGACTAAATTTCAAAAAATTTGTATTGAAAGAAATTTTATATGTATTACAAACATGTACATTTAATTTGTTTTCGATTTGATAAATCTGTTTAAGAATGTACATTAGACATGACTATGATAAAAAGTAGAAATTATATAGGTTCAGATAATAGAGCCTATCTACAATAATATAAACATTTTAAAAAAACCAAAATAACAAAATTTTTAATTTTAAATATATTAGATGATAATTCATCGTTGGTATACAGATATGTTGATATAAAAAGTATTTATAAATAAATGATTATAAAGAAAAAATGATAAAATAATTCTTTTTAAATATTTTTTTATGACACTTTTGTAAATTTTATTTTTTAGAAGTATTTTATTTAAAAATTATGCATAAATTTTAAAAATAAAATATAAAGTTTATTCTTATAAAAAAACTGTCCATAAAAAAAAAAAATAAGGTTAAAGTTTGATTTTATGTTAACATATGTTTAAAAAAGAAATAATATGTATAAAGAATGAATCATATTGTTGTAATATCAATGTTCAGTTGGACATTTTTTTTATGAATTTTCTTAAAATTAACCAAAATAATTTTCTTTTTTAATATTTAACTTTTTCATTTTATGAATATAGATATGCATATTACACAAATTTAAAATAGAAAGCTAACTAGGTCCTTTTTTAAGAATTAAATTTGCAAATTTCGATTACACACAATATTTTTTTAAATAAATTAAATAGAATATCATATATATAAAAAATAACGTTAAAAAGTTACATGCGCAATTTTTTTACATTTTATTTGTTAAAAAAAAAAAAATGTTCCTTCAAAAAAAATAATGAAAAAAATTATATACCATTTTATTATTTAATAATTTAATAATGTTTAATAACAAATAACAAAAAGTATATTTTATTTTTATTAAATTTTTACAATTTTGACATATTAATTTATATTTGTAAAACATCCATTTTTTTGTGAGCTATTATTTTTTCTTGTAATTTTTACTAAATTCATGAAAAGTCATAATAAATGGCATATAAATAAAAAGTACATTTACAAATTTATAATTTATTTTATTTTATTTTTTTTTTTTTTTTTTTTGAGTAATATATATCTAAATTTTAAATTTATTTATTACGAGTTTTTTAAAAATAGCTTAAGCTAAAATTTTTTTTTTATCAAAGCATGAATATATAAAAAAAATATATATTTTAAAGAATTTCATAGCTTATTTTGCATTTTATATTTATATATATATATTTATATATATAATATATTATACGTTTCTAAATTAATTTTACCAAATTTATCACTATTTTTAATATAAATTAATTTTTAAGGAATTATGATGAATTAATGAATTTGAGCAATATTTTAAATATAAATAATTATGATAACGAAGTAAACAATTTTAATATAAATAATTGCCACTCTTTTGTGATATTACGTGTTCATATAAAAAAAAAAATATTAAAGAAAAAAGAGAAAACAATTTAAATGTAAATTTAAAAGCAAAATTAACAAGGATATCATAACAACTGAAGATAATGAGTTAATTTTTTTTTGAACAAAACATTGATAAAAAGAAAAAAAATCAAAAAAATAAGAAAAAACAATGGATATAAATGTAAATAAAAACATAGATAAATCATTGGAAATTTCTAATTTCTGTAATGATGAAAATAGCCTAGAAGAGTACAATGAAGAAAACTTTCAAGAAAAAATGAAGTTAAAATTACATGTAAAGAAAAAACAAAAAGAAACAAAAGATGATATAGTAGAAGATGAAGAAGAAGAGGAAGAATTTGTAAAAGAAGAAAAAAATGAAGAGATATATGAGAATGAAGATAATGAGGAAGAAGAGGTAAAAAAAGAAAAAAATGAAGAAATATTTGGGGATGAAAATGAGGAAAATGAAGAGGAAGAGGAGGAAGAGGAGGAAGAGGAGGATGAAGAGGAAGAATATTTAAAAGAAGAAAAAAATGAAGAAATATTTGGTGATGAAAATGAGGAAAATGATGAGGAAGAGGAGGATGAAGAGGAAGAATATTTAAAAGAAGAAAAAAATGAAGAGATATACGAGAATGAAGATAATGAGGAAGAAGAGGTAAAAGAAGAAAAAAATGAAGAAATATTTGGGGATGAAAATGAGGAAAAGGAAGAGGAAGAAAAAATAGAAGTAGATATGAAATATGAAGTGGAACATAAAAATGAAATAAATTTCAATGAAAGATGCGTGGGAGATAACAAAGAATATGATAATTATTTTAAAAATGACTCATTTAATAACAACATTTTTGAAAATAAACACGCATCAGAAGGAAATAATATTGGTTCTTATGATGATATAAGTAATGAAAAACAACAAAATATTGGAGGAACTTTGTTTTTTGATAAAAATGAAAACGACGAAATGATAGAAAGTAATGAAAATACAGTGAAAACTAATGTAGACAATGATGATACATCTACAGAATTAATAAAAAAAAAAAAAAAAGGAAAATTTAATAAAAAAAAAAGAAATTTAAGTGGAAGTGAAAGTAATGAAGAAAAAAGTGATGATACAGATGAAAATACATTAAGAAAAAAAAAAAAGAAAAAAATGATACGTTTAAAAAAAAGTAAATATATTGCTAATATAGCTGAAGAAGTAGAAGAAGAAAATGAAGAAGAAACAGATAATGGAATAAACAGTGATAATGATATTAACAAAAAAAAAAAATATTCTTCTAAGAAAATGGGTTATAGTGATATAGTTGTAGATGAAGAAGAATATGAATTGGAGAATGATGATTCTAATAAATTACAAAGGAAAAAGAAAAACTATTTTGATGAAATATTAGAAAATTTGAAATATAGAAGAAAAAGGGCACCAAAAATTTCGGAAGACGATGGCATTCAGTATTGTGAAAATGTTTTAAATCAAATGATTTTAGTTCATGAACAAGACATAAAAAATATGAAAGAAAAAAAACCAGCAACATCAAAACTTCAAATAATTGACGAAGTTTGCAAAATTTTAACAAAACCCAAATGGAAACCTTTCTTTATGAAGTTAAATATATATCATGTTTTAGCATTGTGGCTTATGCCCACATCAAAAAATACCTTGCCAAATTTTACAATTAGAACTAATTTATTAAAAGTTATTCAGCAGTTACCAATAACTATTAAATCATTAAGAGGAAGTCAGCTAGGGAAAATCATGACATATCTACATTCACATAAAGATGAAACAGAAGAAAATAAAAAGTTAATAAGAAATATTTTACAAAATTGGATGGGACCAATTATAGGAATAAATTCTAATTATAAACAATTTTTAAAAGAAAGGCAAAAAAAAATTATGGAAAATCCAGAATTTCATAAAAAAGTTCTTGAAAAAGCAAAAACATTAATACCAGATTCTATATGTATAGAAAAAGAAGAAGAACAAAATGAATTCAAAAGACATGCAACTATACCTTACAACAGTGAATGTTCTTTTCTAATTAATGTACCTTCATCTATGCCTAATTCAAGTAAAAAAAATATTCCAAAGAGTAAAATTAAAAGATTAACAGACAGCATGAAATTAAACAAGAGATTCAGAAAAACACAAAAAGTATCAATTGAAGGCAAAGGTGTTGCTGTTGCACCCTAAATGTGCAGACATATAAAATATTAATAAAAAATTAATAATTAACAGTAGAAAGACTATATTTATAAAATAATATATATTAACACTATAATATATATATAAGAATATGAATATATGTAAACAATTTTGTTCTATTACTTAAAATTTTATTGTTTTTTTAAAGCTTTTAAATTTTTAGTGTATCTCTATAAAATGTTATAAAATCTGACAAAAATTTTGAATTTTTTTATTTTGGGAAAAATGTTAAAATAAACAAAATAATTTTTATTTTTTTGATTTGCTGATGCTATAATTTTTGATGATTAAACAAAAAGTTCTTTTTATACAGTTTATGTAATTTTCAAAAAGAAAAAAAAAAAGAAAAAATAGGAATTGGCGCATAATGTAAAAAATACTGCATAAATTAATTTTCCTTTATTCTTTTTTTTTTTTTTTCTCTTTTTTTTTTTTTTTTTCTCCTTTTTTTCTTTTTTTTATATGATTAAAAATAAACGTTCTATTTATTAAATTATATATTAACTTTTTTGATTATTTTAGTAATATAGCAGATAAAATTTCTATATAAAAAATATATAGAATCTATACAAAGATAATGTATTTTATAGTGACTTTTTTTTTTTTTTTTTTAATGGTAAATCAAGTTTTTATTATTTTAATAAATTTAAAAAAAAATACATTTACAAAATTCATCGATAAACGTGTTATAGATGGTATCAACAAAAAGGGAAAGAGCAAATAAGATAGCACATATATGTGTACACAATTTAGTTTTATAAATTAGTATAAAATATATTTATTTTTGTCCTTTTTCTTAAAAAATTATATATTTAATTAGGAAAATAAAGGGATATGAAAAACATACAAAAAAAAATGTTTTAATGTGCATACATGTGCAACTATAATTGAAAAAAAAAAAAAAAAAAAAAAAAAAATTATTATTAAAATAGGATATGGAAATTGAGCATAAATTAAGTAGCGTAAATAAACATATAGAAACAATCCCTATTAATATTTCTTTAAAGCAATTCTTTTAATATTTAAATTTTAATACATTTATTAAAACTTTATTTTGAACAATGTTTTTAAGAAAATTTTATATTTTAATAGCAAATAGGAAAAACAATAAAACTATATTTAAGTGAAAAAAATACCATAAAATTAAAACATTTAAATATTACTTTATTGTCATATATATATATATATATGTATATATATTTTATTTAAGGGCTTTTGGTAATTTAATACACTTTTTTCTTATTATTTTATATTTAATATTATTAGTTAGTTTTCTATTTTATTTTTTATTTCTATATATTATTTTATATTTATTATAAAATAATATATGGATATATTTCTACAGTAATATAGAAAAGAAAAAGGAGAAATGAAAATGGATATTTTAATAATTCCGTTTCATTTGAAATACTAGATGAAAAAAGAATAATTTCGTTTCATATTCATTAATTACAAAAAAAAAAAAAAAAAAAAAAAAAAATATTATTATTATTTATGATTAAAATAATAATATGATAACTAAAGCATAGTTCTCATAAAATGCTATTTGCTATAATTTGTAAGGATATATATGAAGAATATAAGATAAAAAAAAAAAAAAGGTTTTAAGAAAATGAGAAAAAAAGAAAAAAAAGATACATCAAAAAAAAAAAGAAAAGATCAAGCTTTTATAGATTTCTTATATCAAAATATTATAAAAAAAGAATTATTTAATATATTCAAAGGTAAAACTTATAATAATAAAAAAAAAGAGAAATATGCTATAAAAAATTTTAATGATAGAAATGACATTAGCAAAATTAAAACTACAAATGAAGATGAAGAGTATATACTTTTTTTGAAATATATTTATAATGATGTGTCATCATTTATTGAAAACAATAAAAATTATCACTTAATAAATTCTAATCTTTTAGATATTGAAGATCTTATGGTTAATATTTGTGACACCATTTGTCATAGAACTTTTAAAAATATTAAAACAATATTTGATTCATCAGATGAGAAAACAAATTCAAAAACAAATAATTTAATTAAAGAAACATTTAAAGATGAAAATAATATAAATGATTCTTTTTTTTTAATACCTCCAATGGAATATATTGTATCGTATATTAATAAATTAAGTTGTAATGATGTTAAAGAATTTATTAAAAAAAATAATTTTGATAAACAAACATTATTTCATACCTCTGTAAGTACTAAATTATTAGATGATGAAATTATTAATCAATATGAAAATTTAAATAATGAAGAGAAAATAGAACTTCAATCGAAACACTATCTAACTACTGATCAATATTCTACCAGTAATGAGATAGATGAGGAAAAATATAAAAATGTATTAGAGTGTTATTCAATTGAAAAAAAAAATTTACACGATAAAAAAGATGTAGAAGAAGATTATATTTGTGTCAATAAAAAAGTTAATCAAGACAAATATATTTATATGAATAATAAGATAGTTAATTGTTATAATGAAAAAAATCACGATGAACTTGATGAAAATAAACATATTAATTATTTGTTATCTACAGATAAAAAAGAAAATGTTGATTGTGATATTTATAATGAATATGAAAATATTTCTCTTTATAAACATTTGAAGATTTATGATTCTTCTGATAACAACACATCAAAGAATACTAACAGTGTATTATCTCATTTAGAAGAAGAAAATGTTGATTTTAACTCATATTATATTAGTAGTGATTCTTCAAAAAATAAAAGTACAAATATAAATTATTTGTGCAGTGTATCTTCTAATAATGAAGAAGTTGATGAAATTTTATACAAAAACAAAAAATTAGAGGAAAAAATAAACATCACTTTTTTAAGTGATGAATTAATGAAAAATAATTGTGATAATAATGATATTCTTTATCACACTTTAAACAATGTGGAGAATAACGATTTAAATGATAAAATTATTAAATTGAGAGATTTTAATAAAGATATTTTAACTGGAAATGATGAATATGTTTGCGATAAGTGTTATTCCAGTGATTCATACAAAACTAAAAAAGATAATTTATATGAAGGAAATATTTATAATGATTTAGAAAATGAAAATAATCATTCTAATAATACTAATACTTATACTTGTAATTCTAATAATATGGATATTAATATAGATGATGATAATTACGATGTTATTATTAACAATAATAATAATGTTGTTGAAATTAATAATAGTGATATTAATAATAACGAATCTAATGATATTGGTATTAATAATGATGGTAACTATGCTTTTACTAATAATAACTATAATGATATAAATTTTAATAATGATATTAATAATATTGATATTAATAATGCTGATACTGTTGATATCAATAAAGTTACAAATAATGGTGATATTAATAATTATGTTAGTGAAATTGATGCTAATGATAATAATGCAAATGATATTGAAGTGAATATTAATAATAATACTAGTAGTTTTAATAATAATGGTATTAATAATATATGTATCAATGAAAGTAATGTTAATAAAAATGTGAATAACAAGGATATTAATAATAATGATGTTAATGATAGTAATATAGAGGAAAAAGAAGTGAACTTTGAAATAAGAAGATTAAATGAAAACATAAACAAACTTAATTCTTGTATAGAGCAAAATAAATATAAAAATTACATTGAAAATATAAATAATAGTGAAAATAATTTGGATAAAGAGTATAATAAAGTAGAAAACATTAAGATGGAAAATATTAACGATCCTAATGAAAAGAATATAAAAGAGAGAAATAATGATGAAAAAAAAACACCAAAAAATATATTTAAATATGACAAAAAAGAATATCAAGAAAGATTGCAAAAATTATTAAAGGATACAAATTGCTTAAAAAATGAATCAGGTGAATTTAGGAAAAATAGCAATTTGCATGATGATTATTATTATTTCAAGTATTTAAATAATTATGAAAATAAAATTAATCCATACCATTATACAAGGGTTGAAAAAAAAGCAAATATACAAGTAACACCTTCCCCATTTCCTCAATTTTTAAGAGATATACAAATTTTTAATGTTCCTCAAAAAAAAATAAGATTAAAAAAGTAAGTTATGTTTGCAGATTTAATACTTATCTAATGTTTTTATTTATATATATTTTACAAATAGTTATATATATTTTTTTAAAATTAAAATTTTTTTCCTTTTTTTTTTTATAGAACTAACGTAATTTTAAATAGAGAAAAGGTAAGATCATAAACATATAATCTATAATTTTTTTTTAAATATAATTATTTTTAATAATAAAGATGTTTAACTTTATATAATTTTAACACATTATTTTTTCACTACGAAAAGTTTTAAATATAAAAAAAAATTCAAAATTTAATACATCTTATATTTATAGAAAATTCACAAATATATGCTTCTATGTAAAATATTTTTATAGGAGAACAAGAAAGAAGGTAAGAAATCAAAAATGAAAAAAAATATAATAAAAAATGAAGAAAAAGATAAAATGATATAAGGTGAAATTAAAAAAATTTCATAATAATGGAACAGTTATCCCAGATCTATTTTTATTTTATTCTGCGTCCATCAAAAAATTCTGGAAAATTTTAGGTTATCATTTTTGAATTTCTATTGGTAATTTTCTATTGTAGTAAGTGTAAAATTCTTTATATTAAACAAATAATTAAATTAATTTTTTCTTTTTTTTTTTTTTATGTATTTAAATTATTGTTTTTTAATGAATTTTGTATGTAGATTTTTGATTTATAATTAAGAATGTAGGGAAAATTATATTTTAAATAAGCTTTGATTTAAATTTTTTTTTTTTTTTTCATTATTTTAAAAATAAATTTTAATTTCTTGTTTTTTGTTCTTATTTTTTCGTTGGATTTATATTATTATTGTGATTTTATTATTTATATTCCTAGTTTACAATTTATATATCATTTTGTTTTATTTTATTTTTATGCTAATTTATACATTGCTTAATATAAATTTTTAAATAAAAAATTTTATGGGAATTTTTTGCGTCTATACATTTATTATAATTCTTTATTTTATATCAATATATAAAAATACTGTAAATTTCGAAAATTATCCATACGAATAAATTTCATGATCTGTGTATTTTTTAGTTTCTTTTTAAGTCACAAAACATTTTTATTTAAAATTATATCTTTTAAAAAATTAAAAAATAAAATAAATAAAAATTATTATATATAGTATATATTTAAAATAATTAGTAAAAATAATTTTTGTTTTAATATTTAAAATTAGAGCATATATTTACAACTTAAAATTTAAAACATATTTTTAAAAGATAATAAATGGATTTTTAAAATAATATATATAAGAAATATATATATAAAATAATGATTTTATGAAAATAAAAAAGTTTACTGAAATGTAATGAATAATAAAGTTAAATATATAAATAAAAAGTAAAAAACTTGATAGTTATAAATATTATTAACTCTTTATGAAATGTATTATCCTAAATTATAAATCTTAGTGATAAAAAGTTGCAATACTGTTGAGTTCGTGTATATTAAAAATATATATATATATATATATATATATATATATCTATGATAGTAAAATAATGAAATTTTAAAAAAAATATTAATTAAAAATCAAAACAAAAAAAAAAAAAAAAAAAAAAAAAAAAAAGAGAAAGAAAAAGAAAAAGAAAAAGAAAAAGAAAAAGGAAAAGAAAAAGAAAAAGAAAAAAGAACAAGAACAAAGAAAAAAAAAAAAAAAGAATAAAAAATGAGAGTTATTATTCAAAGAGTAAAGAATGCTATATTGAGAGTCAAAAAAGAGCCTATTCATGAAAATGAAAATAAAAATGAATTAGAAGTATTTAGTAAAATAAATGAAGGATTAATTTGTTTTATTGGAATTCATAGAGATGATACATGGAAAGATGCATTATATATAATTAAAAAATGTTTAAATTTAAGATTATGGTCAAATAATGATAAAAGTTGGGATAAAAGTGTAAAAGATTTAGACTATGAAATATTGCTTGTTTCTCAATTTACACTATTTGCAAACACAAAGAAAGGAAGTAAACCCGATTTTCATTTAGCTAAAGAATCTAATGAAGCTTTAATTTTTTTTAATAAAATAGTTGAAGAATTTGTAAAGGAATACAAACAAGAAAAAATAAAAACTGGAAAATTTGGATGCCATATGAATATTGAAGTTACTAATGATGGACCTGTTACTATTTTTATTGATAGTCATGATATTAGTTTAAATAAATAATCATTCTTATTTAATTCTTATATATATATATATACGATTTAAAATATTATACTATATAAAATTAGTAGGTGATATATACAGAATGAAGTTTTTCCACTGTAAAATTCAGAAAAAAAAATTTTTTTTTGCATGCTTTAAATTTTGATTTTTAAAAAAATACTTATTTCATATATAAATTGTACTTAACACACTTTTATTATTTTTTATCTTTATGCCTTACCTTTATATAAAAAAAATACTTTGAAGATATATTTTTTTATTGATAATAAAAGTGTATATTTCTGAATTTTTTTTTTTTTTTTTTTTTTACTTAGTGAAATTTGGCAATTAAATCTGTTTTTTTGTAAATTAAGGATGATAATTTTTGATAAAAATAAAATAAATACTTTAATACCATTATGGAATTATAAAACTAAAAAAGAGTGTTATAATTATATAGAAAGAAAAATAAGATTTCCATCTTTTTCTCAAGTAAATTGAATATATAATCAGAATAATATATATCTAATTAATTTATTATCATTTTTATCGTGTTTTATAAGCATTACATTCATATTTTATGATTATTACTATTTTTGTTAGAGTATCATTATTGTTATAATTATTATATCATTATTATAATATTATTGTGATTGTTCTAAATAGTGTCTTCAAATTTATTAATATAATTTATTTAACAATTAGGCATGGAAATTCATGAATGAGATATCCAAATATAATGAAAAATTAAATCATCATTGTAAATATATAAATGATTATAATAAAGTAAAAATAAAAATCCATACGCACATATCAAAAGATATAACTGATAAAGATATAAAATTGGCTCATATTATTGATGAAACCCTGAAGAATTATGAACATGATACAATTAAAGAAAAAACACATTAGCAAGTGAAAACATTATATGTTTTAATTTAATTAATTATTTTATGTATTCAATTAAAATGATCTATTCTATTTTTGAATGAATTTTTCGTAAAAATTTAAAAAACAATTATTTTTTTTTTCAAAAAAAAAAGAAAATTTCTATTCTAATTTTAATGAAGATCTTAAGAAAATAAGGAATAATAATAAAGTTAATACATATATTTAATATATATATATATATATATTAACATATTTTTACAACAAATATATGAAATAAACAACTTTAAATTAAAAGATTTACAAAATAAAAATTAGTTTAATAAAAGATACTTCAAGTTATGTCATTATATTTTCCATACTTAATTTAATTTTCAAAAATTAAATTATAATTAATGAATAGATATAAAAATCCCTTAAAATAGCTCGGCATATATATATTGTTTTTCTTTTTTTTTTTTTTTGTTCTATTTGTGCATAAATTAAAAGTTCTTTTTAATTTTAATTAAAATTAATCATTAAATTATATTTAAATTATAATGTAAACAAACTATACTTCAAGTCAAATAAATACCTACTTTATTATTCTAATCTATTATTAAAAAATACAGCAATTTTTCTTGTATATATCGATGATTTTATTATTTTAATAAATATATTACTATATTGTATATCTAATTTATCTTTTTTTTTTTTTTATCATTTTATTTAATTTTAAATTATATTATTTTTATTAAATTTTTCATTTACTTATATAACATCATTATAAATTTTTAGTTTATTTACATATTTTCCTTTATACAATATCTTATGTAAAAAAAAAAAAATAAATATTCATTATTTTTATTTATATATTGATGTTTATTTCCTTTAAAAATTTATTTTATAATTAATTAATAAATGTAAAATACATTATTGAAAAGAAGAAAAACAAATAAAACAAAAGAGGAAAAGAGGAAATGAAAACAATATAAAATAATGTAGTAAATTCATTTTCTACATAAGAGCATGATGTGTCATTTAAAGTATTCATAAAAATACATATAATTAATTTTAAAAAAATAAGGTAGAAAATAACATATGATACTATTTTTATATTTCAAATAATACACTGTATATATGAAATAAAAAAAATTTACTCTATATGGGCTAAGAGTTTAAATATTGTTTTACGATTATTTTAAATTAAATATTAATATATTTTTTTTTATTTTTCATATTCTAAGAATTTATATAATTAAAATATATAAATTTTATAACATAATTATAAAAATAGCATTATTGTAATAATATACACTAGTATTCATTAATAAAAAAAAATTATTTATAACATGTATATCTTATTTTTTTTTTTTTTTTTTTTTTTTTTTTTTTTTTTTTTTTTATATATATATATATATATATTTTTAAATATTTTTATATATGGAATATTATATATATATATATAATATTTTTTATAAAAAATAAAATTATCATTATTTCTTAAATTTTTTTAATTCACACTAATAAAAATTAAGTTCTTTATATCTATGAATTCTCTTAATAAACAAAAAAAAGAAAGGATAAAAAGGTTAATACATTTATTTTACATCAAAAAAAAAAAAAAAAAAAATATAAGTATACATATATAAATATATGTTAACAACAAAAGTAAAATAAACAATAAATAGTATTAAGAGTAAATATATAAAATTGTGCAACAAAAAAAATAAAAGATTTTAATATAAAAAATTAAAATAAAAAACGCTAAAAATCTAAAATTCATCATAACTCAAGTAGAATACAAGATTGAAAAATTTTAATTAAATTGAACAAATTTTTTGTAAGGATTTATAAAAACATAAAAAATAACAAAAATTCATAAAAAAAATTGAGGAAATTATAGTATATATGATATGGATAAATAATAACAATAATTATATTTAATATTATTGTTATTTCACTAAAAAAAAAATATATATATCTTTGTGTTTCTTATATCATTTATATTTTAAAAGTTTTATTACAAAAATTACAAAGTAAATAATGTCAGTGAGCTCAATAAACAAAAGGATATATATACCGAAATTTTATGCTGATGTGAACATTCATAAACCAAAAGAATATTATGACTATGATAATTTAGAATTACAATGGAATAAACCAAACAGATATGAAATAATGAAAAAAATTGGAAGAGGAAAATACAGTGAAGTATTTAATGGGTATGATACTGAATATAATAGACCATGTGCAATCAAAGTTTTGAAGCCTGTTAAAAAAAAAAAGATAAAAAGAGAAATTAAGATTCTACAAAATTTACATGGAGGACCAAATATTATAAAGTTATTAGATATAGTGAAAGACCCTGTAACAAAAACTCCATCATTAATTTTTGAATATATAAATAATATTGATTTCAAAACATTATATCCAAAATTCACTGATAAAGATATACGTTATTATATTTATCAAATTTTAAAAGCTCTTGATTATTGTCATAGTCAAGGTATAATGCATAGAGATGTAAAACCTCATAATATTATGATAGATCATGAAAATAAGCAAATAAGATTAATTGATTGGGGTTTAGCTGAATTTTATCACCCTGGTCAAGAATATAATGTCCGAGTGGCTAGTAGATATTATAAAGGACCTGAACTGTTAATAGATTTACAATTATATGATTATTCTTTAGATATATGGAGTCTTGGTTGTATGTTAGCTGGAATGATTTTTAAAAAAGAGCCTTTTTTTTGCGGTCATGACAATTATGACCAATTAGTTAAAATTGCAAAAGTCTTGGGTACAGATGATCTACATGCTTATTTAAAAAAATATAATATTAAATTAAAACCACATTACCTTAACATATTAGGTGAATATGAAAGAAAACCATGGTCTCATTTTTTAACACAATCAAATATTGATATTGCAAAAGATGAAGTTATAGACTTAATTGATAAAATGCTTGTTTATGATCATGCTAAAAGAATAGCCCCAAAAGAAGCTATGGAACATCCTTACTTTAGAGAGGTACGAGAAGAATTATAATTTTTCAATTTTTTTTCTTTTTAAACTTAATTATATGCTTGTAACTATTTTCCAATTTATATTCTATTTTTGTTCACAATTTTTTTATATAAAGTATGTTTATATAATAAAAAATTTTATACCATTTTTTTATTCTTGTATTTTTTTTTTTTTATACATATTTATATTGTATTTTTTCTTTTTTTTTTTTTTTTTTTATTTTTTATATATATTATTTAATTCAACCATACATATATATATATATATATATATTTATGTTTTTCTTTTATATTCAATATTTATTATTTTATTTTATTTAACTTTTTTTAAATTGTTAAGATATATTTTTTAAAATTGTCACAAATTTTATAAAAAAAATTGCGTAATGAATATTATAAAATTATGCTAATTAAAATTTTCTAAAATAATAATAGAAAAATTTTCTTTAATATAATTATATATATATATATATATATATTTGTTTACATATATATTAAAATTAAAAATACAAAAAAATATTTCATTAGAATTATGAGTATTTTGGTTAATTGGGGAAATAAACAAAAGTATAATACTACGTTCTATACATTTTAAAGTTTACATCTGGTATTATGTACCTCTTTAACTTAATTTTATCTAAATGCATACACGATATTATTTTTAATAAATAGTAAAACCTGTAAAGCCCTTATAATATAATTATAAAATTCATTTTTTAATTTATCGTTTATATGTGTGATATATATTAGGCAATAATATAATAGAAGACAAAAAATTTTAGTAAGTTTCTTAACATAGATCTAATCATACAATTTCTTTTAAATTTTGATATCGTTGTATTATGTTTTTTAAATATTTATAAAATATGTTTCTTTACTAATTATATTAAATGTAATAAAATTATTTTGCCTTAACTATAATAAAAAAGCATATGCGTTATCTAATTTAAAATGGTTATTTAATTTATTTTTACTTTTTTTTTTTTTATAATTCTGTTTTACAAGGAAAAATTATATTTTACGTATTTTATAATATACCTGTTAATACACACTATAAATGTTTTAACATTTTAAAAATAACAAAAAATTGAAGTTCTTCAAAATATTATAAAAAAGAGAATATAAAATAAAATAGTATGAAACAAAACACATTTATTTTTATCTAGTTTTAAATTTTTTTTTATTAATTTTATATTTATATTTATATTTATATTTATGTTTGTGTTTTTTTTTTTTTTTTTTTTTTTTTTTTTAAATTATAATTTTATTTTAGATATATGAATAAGATATAAAAAATTTAAAATAAAACAAATAAA